CCCATTGTAACGAAGTTGAAAATGAGGAACATCATTTAATACATTGTAAATTGTACACAAAACAAAGAGACGCAATGTTTCACAGTATCAACAGTGTAAATGCAAATTTCCTGAATTTGGATATTAAAAGAAAAACAATTTAAACATATCTTACAATCAAAAGATAAAGATACTATTATAGCCCTCTATGTGTACTTGAGTAACAGTAAATGAACAAACAAACGAATACACTCAGTCACACTTATTTAATTTTTTATTTATTCAACTTTCGCCTACTTACTTTTTTAGTTATTCATTATTAACTTTATTACATTTTAAACACCAAATTAGAAATGTAAAATTTTCTACACGGTTGTAATAAAGCTGTTATCTTATCTTATCTTATATATCAAATATATATCATAACATACATATATATCAAAATGTGTCAGCATAAAATTATAGCTACCCTAAAATGGTGGTCCTCAAAAAAGATAAATAAATAATTACTTTTTAACTCTTGATGGTGGAGCAAAGACTCCTCTTCGTGGTTCACATGTGAAATACCTTTCACCGGATACAGCGCCATCGTTTTTACCAACCGCCTTGTCTAGCTCTATACCATACCACCAACCTATTAGAAAGTACACATGCACAGAGAAAAATATTAACTGGGTTTCATTTAGTGGATTTGATGTTAAACTCACTAGTGTTGGAAACAATATATTCTCTTGGTAAAATTGAATATTTACTAGGTTAAGGTAGCAAGAGGGGAAACACAAGTTATAGTTAAGTGAGTTTTAATTGAGAAATAAGCCCAAAAAAAGCGGTGGGGGTGTATGATCCTACATAAAATATGTTTCGTTTTTTGGCGAACTTTGACAATATTTGGCAGTGGGTTTACTTAATCTGTGTAAGTGTGTACTTACCAGGTGCAAAGTTAGTTTTGCCACTGAATCTTACAACACCAGTTCTTTGACCCGCCACAATGACTCTGTCTCCTGTCTCGATATCACCTGGATCTGAGTTGATGCTTTGACTGGATGGTGACCTACGTAATCCTGAAATATTTAAATGAGAGTTATTTAACAGTGGTTCGATCATTACAGCTATGGAATATTATATTAATTCAAAAATTTGACAGTTAAAGTTTTTTTTAATATTTTATCACTTTGGGTATCCCCATAAGCCTCACATTCTGCTTCATATGATGAAGACATCCAGAATACATCTTCAATACCTTTATACATTTTTCACTGAAATTTGATGCACAAAAATATGAATGCAGCCCTGTGCTTATTCTTGCTGCCTAATACATTAAAAAATTAACAAAAAAACAGAGTTGAGCACCAAAAGTCTTTTCTAATTGATAAAATGCAAAAAACAAATGTAAGTGCTTGTACACTAGGAAATTATTCCATTTCTTCTAAAAAATTCTTGTTGTGCCCTTTCTGATTGAAAGTAGTAATTCATACTTTTTATTGTATCTCACCTCTGCTATAGCTATGTTAAAATTTGGCAAATCTTTTTTTAAGCTTGCTTTTATAACTGCATTTTTTAATGATAAGTATAATGTGGTTAAGTATAATGGACAAGTTTTTATCTCCCAAGATAATTTGTTTGCTTGTTAATTTATTTTGAATTTTTAATTCCTTACCTTATAAAACTGCTATTTTAATCCAATATTAATTATAAATCACCGTACAGCGTGTGTTTGAATTTCATTGGAACAAAAATGTATTTCAAATGCGCTGACATTTTACAATCGGTTATTTGAGGACTGAAAACCCACTCACATCAGTTCACTCTATTTTTTTATGCGAAAATCTCGATAGAATCACGCATAGGTTCACTGGGAATTAAGTTTAAATCAAACTTGTAAGAAGACAAGTCAACTTTACAAATGATTTCATATGGATGTTCTCTCCAGTCGCTGTTCTGTTTCAGGCCGATTTCTCGCTATTCGCGCATTTTCACAAGCCCAAATACCTCTTCAATAGACTCTATATAGTGAGTTCTAACAACTTTACGAAGGCTGAATGCAACTTTAATTTTCAAACCATCTGAAAATATTGTCATCTAACACTTAATTCATGAAATCCAATATTTGTTGATAATTGTAGTACGGAGGTATTTCAATGGTCAAAATAAACAATATTTAAATGTATTTGCATTTAATTAATAGTACAAGGAAAAATACAGTATATGTATTCACTCTATTAGTAGCACATATGTACTCATGTAAATTACAGAAGTGTTTCTATAGTCAAAATAATTCATTTTATTATACATCTGTCACCGTAACGCCATAAGTTACAACGTGCCGTAATTTTGCGGTATTTTACAGGGTATTTTCATCCTACCATATAAGGAAATGCGAATTCCAAATATAGAATGCTTACTCGCATAAGCGTCCTATAATAATAAAAACAAACATGGCTGCCACTAGAAATTGGCCATATTCAACATGGCTAAGTTTGCAGATTCTGTTCTATACATTTTGGATTTCGGCATTCCCATGGTGTATCCTTGAATAATATCCTTGAATGTATAATAATAAGTTTATTATTACCTCAAAAGTATGCACTCAGACAGTACGCCGTGCAGCGCAGGTCAATACTCCAGCTGTACTGTCTTCGTGCATACTTTGAGGTATTCTTGAAATAACCTCATATTATTGAATGAATACAAAAAAATTGATTTATGGTTTATATGCGATTCTAATAGAGAAAATACTACAACAGATTTATTAAATACTCGTTTGAAATGACTCCACACATTCTAAACGTTACCTGTGTTCACTCTCGCAGTCACATGTGCTACTTTAACTTTTCCATAGTTGATATTTCCCAGGCTGTCTCGTCTTGGCGTACTATTTCGAGATGTTGAACCCGGTCGAGAAATCTTGGATAACGGAGCAAATATACCTGAGAAGAACAATTGATTCATTAAATTTATTTATAAAACAATATATGTATAAAACAATAAAATCATTGGTAGAATGGTTTGTGGTTACAACTATCAGATGTTATGATCAAATAAGGTTGCAGATTGACGTGTTTACTCACCGTGCTTAGGTGGGCAGGAAAAATAAGATATGCCACCGACGCTGCCATCGTTTTTACCCTCAGGTTCATCCAGTTCAATTCCAGCCCACTGCCCAGTAGCAAACTGTGTTGTGCCACAATACCGCAATGTACCAAGCTGTTAATGCAAAAAGAAAACCTCAGTTACAGATAACCAAAGAGATTTGTTTTAGATGCAATATCAAAATGCTTCTTGCAAAGGAATGAGCTAGCGCTTAGAAGTGAAATTGATTGAAATTTATTTGTTTCACATGTTCAAAAGAATGATTCCTGAATAGCGTGACATGCATTCTAAACATTGTTAAGGGCTGTGGTCATCACCCTGTACACATTCAAATTATACAAAGTATTTTACAGACATTGTATACATGGAATGGGTCCGATATTGAACATTATGCATCATCACAACAGACACCCTTTTTCACAGTAACAATAAATACAGTGATGAAAAAGAGTTTGTTAGGAATGTACATGCAGATGGTTGTCTTGTTTCTGTTGTCATGGGAGCTAAAGGCCATAATATACTATAAAGGGGTTAATTATTCACTGGGTTTTAATTTTGCTTGTTTCGCTGACTGGAAAATGCGCTAAATTAAAACACAGTGAATATGTACAATTTAGCATAGAACACATTATCTAAATGATAAAACCATGCATTTAAAACCCACTGAATATGCCTGAAATGGTAAATCAGCAAAATTTAAACCCAGTGAAAATTAGTCATATTATAGTGGCAAAAAACAAAAAAAATTTCTCATAATACCTGTACATGTTTTGTACATAATAATAATAGTTAGGTTATGTTTATAATTAATAAATTGATGTACCAGGGGTAGTGGTTACAGATAATATTGCCATCAGTATAGAGGATCTTTCAGAGTATTGTCAGACACTGGAAGTCTACATTGTAGATACCTTAATTCCCCCAACCATAACTTGATCACCAAGTTTCAATCCTAAGGATGCCATCACGACTTTACCAGGCACTCCATCGTAATTTACCAATCCGTATGTTGGAATCTGAAAATTAACTTCGCTGGTGAACATTCGTCGGAGCTTTATGGCGTTATTTTCCATTTCTGTGTTTAAATCAACCACTGTAGAATCTGGGATGCACTCGATGGGTGAACGCCCCAAATCGTCTTTTGCATTGACGTTTGCTCCATGCTGCAGCAGACATTTTGCCGCCTCGTAGCTACAGCTTGTAGCTGCAATGTGTAATGGCGTACCATTTTCGTATTCGCCACATATACTATCCACATCTGGAATCGTAATTAGAAATAAGCTCAAAATTATTTCAGCAAATACGAGCCATTGACGTTTAGGGTTACTGTCATCAGACCTTCACACGAGTTCTGTTGTTCTCCGTTTTTTTTTTTTTTCATAAATCAATTTTCACACATCACTGTGATACATTTCAAGAGACTCACCTTCGCCCTTTGAAGCCTTCAGCAACAATCTAACAAGTGGAGCCACATCAAAGTAAACGGCATAGTGCAGTGCTGACATTAACGTCCATCGACAGCGGATACTCACGTCGGCTCCCTTACTAATCAGCAGGTTGGCAAAATTAACAGCGGCTGTGACGTCACCCACACCCATCGCACCTGCTTTACATGTATACATTAATAACGTCATGTCAGTTAAACCGTCACGGTCATCGACATGGGCGCCTCTTTTTAAAATCTACAATAAATGTTTAGTATTAGTAGCGTTAGTTGTTATATCATTTGATATATGAACTCATCAAGGGTTGATAAGTAAAGGGCAAATCTTGCATAATGATAGAGAGACAAGTACTGAAAATCTTATGAGATACTGAGATTAAAAGCTTAATGAAAATCAGCACATATTGAAATCAACACATGATGGATATTTCAATAGAATTATTTCAAGAACATATATAATATTTTGTTCTCAGTCATAATGACCGGCATACATTAAACTGGAGTCTGCTCATTAACCATCAGTCAATCTAACTCAAAACCTAAATTCATTGGTGGGTGGGGTAATAGTATGTTGATTACACCCACTGGTCAAAACTGTGTTCTCAGACAATGTCTATATACCTCATATCCCAGCATTTCAATGTTCTGCTGCGTCTGCGGCACCCACTGCCGAATGACAGCAAATATTTGTGCTATACTTGTCTCAGAGTCTGACAATATTCTGTTACATCCACCCAAACAGTGTGGGTCAAAAAATGTCAAACCCAGTCGCTGACATTGATCGCAGAGTGGTGCTTCATGTACGCTATGCACCATCGGTTTCTCTCGTTGCTGTACATAGGAATCCTCAGATGGAGAACTGCTGTCATGATTTAGTGTGCCGTTACCGGCATCTTCAAGTGTCATTTTGTCTTCAAGATGTACAGGCATTCAGGAAAATAGACTTTCAGATTCTGCAAATAATAAAGTTCTATATATCTCTATTAGTGTGAATTATAATAATGGTGAATTAAGCATAATCCATCAAACTACTTATGTTCTCTACATGCTATCATTTACAGCATTCGTGGAGACCCCATGAAATATTCACGGCCATAAAATTTCAGGTTTTTTACCGATTTCTTTCTGTGTTATAGAAATGAATTAATTAAAAGTATTACAGTAATTAATGCTACACCTATAAACAATATTGTTTTAGTAAACATTTTCTAGCAATGAAAATGTAATGATTTATAGCATATCAAATTTATGTAAATTTGTAATAACAATACAGAAATATCCATAAATAATTTTAGTCCAGATATATAGTTTATTAATATGTGGTTATAAAAAACAATACAGGGAAGATAAAGAATAAGAATCTGGTAGTGAGTTCCAATGGTTTATTATTCGTTGACAAGAAAGAAGTTTGAAATTTTTTTTTACTCATTTTTTTACTGTGTTCTCTAGTGGTGGTGTATGCAGCACGATAGAAGCAAATGTCTAATGTGTTTGATAGAACAAACTTGATGAGTCAATACAGTAAATTCTGTTCGTGATTTTATAAAATTGGATCATCCTCTTTCGCTTACAATGAGAAATTAATGATGGCTGATTAAGTCTGTGAAGATGTTTTTTGTATATGTAGTAAATTCCTCAGACTATGTATTAACTTAGTGTTAGGTGCTTATGTGTTTCTATGGTAACTTAAATAATATTATAACGTATTAGTGTGAAACAAGTGTGACTTTCGGTTTATATGCACTTCTATTATAACAAATATGGTAGCACTTTTCTATTTCAGAAATGTCTGTAGTAAAACGTGGTGACCATCTTTCCAAGTGTACAGGTGAGGTCTAACCAGTGATGATAAAATTCAGTAAATGTCCATGGTCCGATTTACAGTGAAAGTGACACACACAAAATTCTAGTGAAGTCGACCTCACGTAAGTTCGACCACATAAAAGTACAGTCCTCTGGGTCCTCACTCGACTCGGCTTTCTCAGGATCCGAAATCCGAGCTTTTAGCTAACAGCTCAGTTTAGGCACGGCAGTTACTAGTATGCTTTAGGTGGCCAAATTAACGACCTGTTTAATAAACAACACATCTCGAACAACAACAAAGAATACGTGTACACGGCAGGTGGTCGATTAAACCCCTGTGGTAGCGTCAATCAATCGTGGTTCAAATGTATACATTACGTACGTACATTTTACCTCCATGGTACGAACAAGATGTCAACACCAGACAATCCGACAGACGATCGACAACGGGATTACGCAGACTATCCAACGAGAACTATGTTATTATGCTATTGGGGTAAAACGACGATGGTTTCTCGCTTCTCGTCGCAAATTCAATTTTAGTTTTGTACAATCACAATGTACGTAATTTAAGAAACATAGAAACCCGAAACGCCTAAAAATATGTCAGCGTTTTTATGCTGTAAAAAAACACAGCTAAAAATATATATATATATGTGCCTACCTGTACCTCGTCACGACATAATCTTTCGCCGCCTCGTCTGTTTATGTTGCAGACGATAATCCTCTACACCGTGGTTCCAAGTGCTATTTTCTAGTCGCTGCTTCGTAAACACAAATATTTAGTCCACCATTTCTGTAGCGCATTTGAAGAGCGCCGTCAACGACACAATCTGGCAATTTATAAAGAGGGCGCTTTGACGAGACATCTTATTTTATGAAACCCAATCCTATCGGATTCGGTATCAGCTTTGGATAAAAATGATGAGTGGTGTCATTGGATTGGTATTTATGTGTGTGCAGTGGCATCATCAAAATTTAGAGGGGATCAAAGTTCACCTGTTAACATGAATTGTAATTTTATCGGCAATGCCCATATTGACTATACGTATTTACATTACATTTATGTTGACAAATTATAAGACTAGACCAATACACCTTTTAAAATATACCACGAAATAATTGGCTTCTCTGGTTGAAGTACAGGGCCACCTATATTTTCACTTACTTTATGTCTACACATCTGATTTCCATTATAATTTCAAAAAATATTTAATCAATTAAATCGAAAATCACAGAAAGTGATTTCTGAGTCAGACCATCCCCATATATCTAGGAAGTAGTATACCATACATCAATATGTTTTGTGGTGTACATATGTTCGACAATTCATCAAAATATTACACATATAAATATCAAATTTTCAATATAATGGCGGATACATCTTACATATACAATCGATAAAAAACTTATATTATTCTATTTCATGTTAGTGGTAGGAGCCATAATTACAGTGTAGTTAGTTTTTAGTTTTGGACTATTATAAGCTAGTAAAATATACTTCTTAAACGTCAACTTGTTTTGGCGTAGCAGTTGTGTCGTCACCGGAAGCGCTGTCCCAGCACAAACCTGTGTCATATGACGCCATACTAGCCGATTTTGGCTAAAATAGCGCTCCGCCGCCTCTTTACACCATTGTTTATACACGGAACTTGATATTGCTTTTACAGTTTAAGTTGCCTTTTGATCACATATTTTAGTGAAATATTGTCTAGAGAGTGAAATATTAATGTCACAAATAATTCAATCTTTGAAACAACAGAAAGTAACACATAATAACGATAATCAAATTTGTGTTTGAAGTTCGAAAGTACCCGCGTAATTTCCGGTTTCAAATAGTTCGGAAATAGAACGTCCTTGAGCGCAATAACGTAGCAGTAACTGAAGATATTTTAGTGTTGTGGTAAACAGAGAATCATGGTAGACTCATACTTTATATGTCGTTTTATTTATTAGATATCGGGGTATTTACTGAAATGTGTTTCAGATATTAAGGAAATCAGTTGTCAGATTGTCTCATGTTTTGTTCAATTCGGGCACATTTGTGTTTGTCATTTGCATGTATCAATATATATTCACATTTTGATTTATGAATAATCACCCCGTATGGAAATCATAACTTTAAGCCATTTTTAAGCCATTAAGATAAGAAAAAAATGTTTTGAAGTAAAACCAAAAAACAACTTTGTTTGCATATATGCTCATGTCCGAATTTACCCCGTGCTAATAAAAATAGTAACTAAAATATTAAAGCAACTCTAGTAAAATAATTATGCCCATAAATTGAAATATATTAATGGCTTTAACCAATAAAATCACAAAGTATATATTGTAAAGTGAACTTTGACCCCCTTCAAATATTTAAGAAATCTTTTCAAACATATCTCCACGTGATTAGTATCTGTTGTTGGTACATACATAATACAATATATAACCTATACATTTGTATATCGATGACAGATTATTATGTGCGTATGAGATGACCCTGAATACATGGCTTTATGTGTTGTTTGTGATGTCCGAGATTCGACTTGAATTCTCCATTCGGTTACATACACACACTTTCCGTTAATTCCCTTCTTTGTGAACTCAAGTGACCTACAGATCAGAAACACCCAATAGTTATGCCAGTTTCATTTTCTTCGTGTTCTCTTCAATGAGTGATTGAATGTACCAAGTAGCTTCGTGAACACACTGACGTCAAACATGCCATTCGTTCTCACGAGATGTTGAATTGTTCGAGCTACGAACGTCGAATTACAAAACGAGATTAACTGTTAATTAAAGTTCGATTTACTGAATATGAACGTTAAACAACAAGAATATATATGTTGTCCGTAACTTGAAATTCAGTTATTATTGTTAATTAAAGTTTGAGTTACAAAATATGGACGTTAAACAACAATAAAATCTATGTTGTTTGTAACTTGAAATTCGGTTAACTGTTAATTAAACTAAATAAGTACGTTAAACATCAATAACATCTATGTTGCATGTAACTATTAATTTAACATCGAGTTAAAATTCGGGCGTGGTTTTTCAAAAGTGAGCAATGTTTTTAAAATATGGGCGTGGTTGTTTTCGTAACTCGATGTTCGTAATTCAGCATCTTCTTTCCTCGTTCCCTCGTCTCGTTGTCTCAGCACGTACGCATGCGTGGTTTTTGTTTCAGTGACAAACCCAAACTGGAATTTTTGAATTCACAGCCCTTCTATGGTAGATGGACCGTGTGGAATTGTTTCATAAATGGTCATCTCTGGCACAATTTCGTTTTGTCAGACTTACGCATCGAAACTGGTCGATATAGTATCTGTAATGTGTGTGCTTTAAATGTGATTGAAGATGAAAAGATGAAAAGACCGTTATGAACCGCTGTTTATTTACATGACCAATTACGTGATACTTTTTATAGAAATCAACTTTATATTCACATATTGATGAATTTGATCATTTAATACAAGATCACGTCAGAACTACAGCAGAATGTTTTACAAGTTTGTTTTACATTGACGCCAACATTTGGTTTTATAATGTTTCATAGCGGCAATGCTTTTTTTGTCGTGATTTATAGTTGGCATGCACCCAGCCGCATTAGTGGAGCTCATTCGGGTAGCAATTCCCCGCATCATGTTCATATACCGATACTGGTTAAACCATGGGATTAAAGGGCGGCAGTCGTCGCACCGCGTCCTGTTTGATATGGGACTCTTGATAGCGACGTACACAACGCGTGTAAAATAAATTGTTTATTTACATAAAATTCGAGCACGCGCTGCGCGACGACGACCACCCTTTAGGTATTATGGCTTGTATGGCGATTTACTTGCCATAATGGTTTTCTTTCCTATTACTGAACTAAAATAAAAATAAATACAATATTGCAATTAATTTCGTAACTTACTGCGGTCTAGTAATCAAAGCTATTCCCAAACAATGGACATAAATACTTAAACAAAATGGACTAAGTATCTACTTTTCTAAAATGAGAAACGAAAAATCTTCTTTCCATGGATGTCCATATCTCATCAGGCAAGTTTATAAATATTGAAAAAGAGATAGCGATAGGGGGAGGCAAATTAGCGAATCACGATGAAAATGGGAATCATTCAATGTGCTGTGACATTGACATACCCCTTTTCTTTTCTTTTCTTTTCTTTTCTTTTCTCTTTACTTTATAATTGTATTCTTATAATGATATTACCATGGTTGTTGTGTAGAAATTGTACTCTTTTGATGGGATAATTTTATGTATTTATATATGTGGTTAACGTAAAAATAAAATAAAATATAATAAAAAAACAAGTATCTGTTCACGAGTCAGAGTCAGAGTCAGAACATATACATGTAAATGTAATATGTATTACCAGAGGTACATTACTTGGGGTTTGTAACTACGGTGACATGATAAAAATGCGAATGCGCATGCCCGAGGTAACTAGGATACTGGGATGTACAGGTGGATCGAAATAGCTGCCCACGATATGACGGATTACAAGAACTATATTTTTTGTACATTTTCGATGTATTACATTTTTCACTATGATAGTGACAAGAAAAGTTTATTTTTTTCATTACAAACCTTGAACATTGATATGCAACACATGTCAGAAGGTCGTAGCCTCAGTCTCGCTATCTACGAGAAGAGACTTGAATGGGATCTTGACATGATGTCACCATACAGTACTATTCGAGTTGCAAACCCCAAGTAATGTACCTCTGGTATTACTTAGATCTACACAAACTGCCAATGTCTCTTGAAATATATCACGACAAAGCTTATTGTGGTAATTAGAATAATGCCAATGAAATATGGTTGCTAATTTAAAAAACAAATACGATCGCAGAGAAACTGAGAAACTTTCTTACATAGCGTCCTTGCCACAAATATTTTTTTTTTAAACGTAACAGGGTCATTGACAATGATCAGCGTATAGTAATTGTAAACAAACAGAAAATTTACAGCATTTGCTATGAAAATGCAGTGAGACACAACTAACTTCTGAAAATTTCGATCTCGAGGATGTGAATATCATCTTTAATGTCGACAACAAAACTCAGTGAAAACACCTACTACGTCACGGTCTGGCTAAATTTTAATTATACATACCGGTAATTTAATTAACACATGCTAAAACAAACTTCAACATTTTTTTCAGAATGTCAGAAAGACCACGGAAACAGAAAATGCATAGCGCTTAATCGTAATGATAAAAAAAAGTTTTAAACTGGGACAAAACTATTGGTATACCACATTATGTAATATTGTTTAGTGTTTGTTGTGTCGAGTTTACATTTACGTCATTGTTATTACTACGTATCTATCTACAAAAAACTTTGATCTTTAAGATTTGCTTATATAGTAGTTTTTGATTAAATAAACGTGTATTTTCAGAAAAAATATCAATAGTGTATTGTTTTGGATTTATAAGTTTCGCATTTTTCCCCCCGATTTCGTAATGGTTAAAAAAATTGTTGGGGACTTTTGAGAGGTCTCACTGTTGCAGTGATATCCGTTTCGTTACAGCGCCCTCACTGTAATATAAATGAACATGTTTCTCATTGTTACTATCGAACATTAGTATTTCACATATCACCGTTGTACGTTACACCGACACTAAATTAGATTAATTTATGCAAAGAAGGTACATTACTTCAACCTTGACCACACCCCAGTTTCCTATACTTCTTATCAGGTGTCTAAGGTGTGTAGGTCCACTAGTTGTCTGAAAATAAACTGTACATGATAAAGTTTGCTCCCGACACGTCAGAGGCGAGCAAATTTTTCTCCATGCATTTG